GATTTCATTTCTTGCAAGGTCTTGTGGGACATGACTTTATGAGATTAAGCTGGTATTAGTCTCATGGAGCAGGTTCTTACAAAAAAAATGCAAGATCAACAACAAAAATAGATGATAAACCTTTCACTTGATTTGGTACGATAAAAAAAAATGTTGGTAAAAACAGCAGCAAATTCTCCAACAAGAAAGCAAAACAGTCAAACTGAAGACTGATCAAAGCTTAAAAGGAGAAAAWTTTGAAACTAATATTTAAGACTGAACGTTAGAATACTCAGCAATTATTTAAATCTTCCAAATAACTGGTCTTTGCAGTGTGAAGTTACATTTCTAACATTCTGAGGAACTGAACACAGAAGACCAGCTGGAATCTCCAATCGGGGCAGAAATCTGATCCTGGTTTACAACTGGAGGGATCCTGAAAAGAAGCCGTCCATCCTCCAAGCCTCTGGCGTCACTCTGCTCCGGTCCGGCGTTCGCCCCCTGGGCTGTGTGCGTTTTCACGTGTCCATTCAGAGACCGTCTGGCCTGGAAGCTCTTTCCACAGACCTTGCAGACGTAGGGYTTCTCTCCGGTGTGAATCAGGATGTGTCTCCTCAGATCCTCGCTCTGCATGAAGCCCTTCCCGCAGACCTGGCACAGGAAGCGCCTCTCCTTGTTGTGGAAGCGGATGTGRGTGTCCAGGGTGCCTTTCTGGGTGAAGTTCTTGCCGCAGATGCTGCAGGAGAACGCCCGCTCGCCCGTGTGGATCTTCAGGTGCGTCTTCAAGTTGCCGATCTGGTTAAAGGACTTCCGGCAGTAGCTGCAGGTGAAGGGTCTCTCTCCGGTATGGATCCTCAGGTGCATCAGCAGCGCCGACTGACCGGGGAAATGTTTCCCGCAGGTTTCACAGGTGGTGCCGATACAAGTGTGCGACTTCAGGTGAGTGGCGAGGCTGTTGGTGGAGTCGTACTGATCCCCGCAAACCGCGCAGCAGGAGTTTGGGTCTTGAGCGTGAATCCTGCCGTGCTTAATTAAAAGGATCTTCCGTTCGAAAGCTTTCCCGCAAATCCTGCAGAAGTGTGACGGTGCTTTTTTCACTTTGGGAGCGTCATCTTCCTGATGCGTTGCCATGTGTTTCCGTAGGCTCTTCCGTTCACCGAACTCCTGGTTGCAAACGCTGCACGTGTGGACGCCAGTTTCAGCGTGCTCCTTCGTGTGGCGCTCCAACGAAGTCGTGTGACAGAACGCACGGGGACACTCTTTACATTTGAAAGGCTTCTCTGACGCGTGGACCTGCAGGTGGGACGTCAGGTAGCTCTTCTGACTGAACTTTTTGCCACACTCGTGGCAGCTGAACGGCTTTTCGCCGGTGTGCAGGCGCATGTGGAGCTCCTGTGCCAGGATGGAGGAGAAGGTCTTCCCACAGAAGGAGCAGGTTTTGCTGGTCTTCTGGTGAGCCTGCAGGTGATCCATCAGGCTGTCAGCAGACTCTAAAAGGTCGCCACAGTAGCCGCAGCGACAGTCCGTGTTGCTATAACACATCCTCAGTGCATGTTGGAGCAAGAAGCCTTTCCCTGGACAAAGGCGACCACACACATGGCAGCTGAAGCTCTGAGTTGGTTTTGCACGCTTTCGTTTTGGTTTTACGACGCCTAAAGACTCGAGCTCCAGCAGCTCTCTCTTCTTTTTCCCAAAAGAGCCGAGAGGCCGACCTCTTTTCTTTTTTCCTGCAGGTTTAAAAGTCGGACTCGGCTCACTCCAGTCCTCATCAAGATCTTCATCGCTGCTTGTATTCAGAATAAGGTGGTAAGACGGTGAGGGCGAGTAGGAAACATCACTTTCAGAGATGGACTGATCCAGGTCCACTGGGTCGACTGGAACTTGGTCATTTGAGACGTTCAGAGTTACATCCTGAAGAGAATCTGATGGTAGAAGAAATAGACTTGATTTATCAAGAAATAAACCTTTACAAGACTTAAAAGATAAAGTGACTTAAAAAAAAGGTCTTCAAATTACAAATCCTCGAAATCTTCAGTTTCTGGAAATGTTAACAAAAAAAAAAGCTGCATAGCTTCCACTTATTGAGGCTGATATAAAAAATAGTTTATGTCATCAAACGTTACCATGTATGTAAATTAACTTAGTGGAAATTAATTTCAACAACAACTAAAGTAATTTGCAGATTCATCAGTGAAGTATAAATTCCTATTTCATGTATTTTTAATACCAACTGAAGAAAGATTAAACTTTTAAGAAACATCAGATATTTCTAAATAATTTTGTCAAAAATTTCAATTAAAAAGAGCCTATAAAATCCTATTTTAAGCATATTTTTGTCACATAAATAACTATAATCTTTTTATCAGTTTGTTTGCACTGATTTCTTTCTGATTCTTTTTTCTTTTACATAAATTACTAAAATAAATGAATACATTTTTATTTACTCACCTCCGTCTGCAGCCTCCTTTTCACGGTCAATCACTTCACTGAGCTCGCCGCGACTTTTATTCTGAAACTGACCGGAAATCGTACTGTCAGCGGATGAATCGCTTGCTGCGGGTGATGCGGCTCTTTTGCGTGCAAAAACCTGTGATTTGTCTGCTCTTTGAAGCTTCACTTGCGGGGTTAGTACCACGTCGAGCAGATTCCTCTGGCGGCAGATCTCCTGCTCTGATCGCTGCAGTCTGTTCTCAAAATCCTGCACAGTTTTCTTAAACAGGGCGACGATTTCCTCCGCTGCCGCTGCCAGCCTCTCGCTGAGAACAGCTCTCAATGTCCGGAACTTAGCGTCCTCTTTTTCTCCGTTTTCCAGCTGCTGTACAACGTCGTCAATGGCGGCAATAATCTGCTCTTGAACTGACACCCTTAGCAGCTGAACGCCGCACATTTTGCTGCTTTTGTTTCAGCTCTTTGCGACGCCAGAACAAAGACASTCTGCAAGGATGTAAACACACCGAGCGCTCTGTAGACCGCACTTCCGGTTGAGAAAAAAAACAGCAGAGGAGGCAGAACAGCGCCCCCTACTGGACCGGATAAAATGGAGGATTAGGGCCACAGAGCCAAATATAATATCAATAAAAATAATAATAATAATATATATTAAAAAAKTGTTTTTTCCTGAGTTATGACCTCTTTTCTTAGAATTTTGACTTTAATTCCAGAAATCTAGAAAATCGGTGAAAAAGTTTGCTTTTCTAATACTTGTTTTAAGATTTAAAAAGTCAACATGTTCAAAGGGAAGACAGGCTGCTGATAACAGTTCCAGTTTCCAAAATAAAGGCACAGTAATTCTAAATTTAACAAGAATAAAACTAGAATATAGCATAATTTTAAAGTTAAAAAAAGGGCAGACCAAGTGTTTTGCAATGACTACAAACACCTTGTATTCCAGAAAATATTTTAGCACGTAAACATGGTGCAATCAAATACTAAACATGGTTCTAAACCGTGTCCTTTTAAAGAAACCATAAAATCAAATGGGCTGCATTTCTGCGAGGTGATTGCTGCATAGAGAAATGYAAAGTTATTGATGATTCCAACTGCTTTTGATACAAAAGTGTTGGTTTTATCACAAGATAAAAGATGTTTAATTAGACTATATCTCTTTATTATCCGTATATTTTGTCATTAATGACACATATTATTAATAATCAATATTTAAATATATCTGTCACTGAAAGTAAAACCTTCAGAACAATTTCGAAGAACAGATTTCAACATGACAGAATAAATGAGTTTGTCCTGTTTTAGAATAGTTTTAAAATATGCTAAAACACAAACATTTGAATCCTATCGTGTAAACTTTTTTTTTAGTTTTGACAAGTTTTTATTAGGATATTAAAGACGATACAATATTGATTTAAATACAAGTAAGCAAAGTACAAACAATTGTCACTGCACCTTGAAATCTTATCACAATAAACACGTGCTTTAAAATATGTCGTGTCCTCACTGATTTCATACAATATGTACTTTCAGAATACTTCAGAAARATTAATAAATAACCATAGAAGTTGACTGATTTTCTGGATAATGCAACTATTGATGGTCATAACCTAAAACTAACATTAAGACATGAAATGTTTAAAATTTGAAATTCACAATGATTAAAATAAAGCCTTTCTGATAAAACAGGCATAAAATGCTCATCTTGTTTACAAAGACAAAAAAAAATAAACAATGAAGTCAGGAAAGATTTAAGAGCTTTTTCAACTCCGTTGGTTTGATGCAGATGGAGTCCACCTGCCTCCGTCTGCAGCTCACAGCTGGATGAAGTCGGGTTGAATTTCTTCTTGTTGCTTCGCCGTCTCAGCAGCGTYTTTGGCGGCCTGTTCCCTTCCGTGSACCTTCATGTGGGAGTCCAGCGAGCGTCTGTCTTGGTAGGACTTTTCGCACAAACGGCAGCTGAAYGGTTTTTCGCCGGTGTGCGTCATCATGTGCCTCTTCAGGTCGATCTTCTGGACAAAGCCTTTGTTGCAGAGACTGCAGATGAAGGTTTTGTCTTTCTTGTGGAACCTCTCGTGCGTCTCCAGCGAGATCTTCTGGCGAAACCGCTTCCCGCAGAGGCTGCAGATGAAYGGCTTCTCGCCCGTGTGAATCCTCATGTGGGAGTCCAGGTTGCCAATCTGCCTGAAGCTCTTGTTGCAGACCTTGCAGGTGAACGGCTTCTCCCCTGTGTGGATCCTTTTGTGCACGTCCAGATGTTGGCTCATGGTGAACTTCTTGTCGCAGACGTCACAGGAATAAATCCGGAGCTTGTCTCCCGTGTGGTTCTTGATGTGCCTTTTCAGGACGGCGTTTTCAGAAAACGTTTTCCCGCAGAACTCGCAGATGTATGGCCTCTCATCGGCGTGCTGCTTCTCGTGTCTCTCCAAAGAGCTTTTCCTGGGAAATTCCTTCCCGCATTCTTTGCATCTGAAGGGTTTCAGGCCTGTATGTGTCCTCATGTGGATCTCCATGTCCCTGAAGTTGACACCACAGATTTCACAGATCCTGCTGGTCTCTCTGTGACTCTGGATGTGGAGCTGCATGCTCTCTGATGACGTGGAYTGCTCTCCGCAGACGCCACAAAGGAAGTCCGAATCATTTAARTGTGTCTCTGTGTGCCGCAACAAGCTGCCTTTATTGTGAAAAGCACTCCCGCAAACCTTGCAGGAGTGAGAAGGATCCAGGCTTGGTTTTCTACGTTTGCTTCTCYCAGTCGGCTGTTTGTTGGACTCGTGGCTCCGGGTGTGCCGCCTCAGTTCTGGGCTTGTCGGAAAGCCTTTTTTGCAGACTTTGCAGCTAAACGGCATCTGTCCATCATGGTTCTTCATATGTTCCTCCARTGAGTTGCTGTGGCTGAACTCTTTGGAGCAGACGGAGCACGTAAACGTCTTCTCATCCTGGTGGGTCWGCTGGTGAGTCACCATGTTCCCCTTCTGGCTGAAGCCTTTGCCACAAACGTGGCAGCTAAAGGGTTTTTCCCCTGTGTGCAGCCTCGTGTGGGTCTCCTGCGCTCGAATTGAGGGGAACTTTTTGCCACAGAAGTCGCAGGTTCTGCTGCTCTCACGATGAATTTGAAAATGCCGCCTCAGATCGTCGCTGGAGTCGAAACGTTCGCCGCACACGCCGCACAGACACTCAGCCTCCTTCGTGTGTTTCTCCACGTGTTTGATTAAAGAGCCTTTACCGTCAAAAGACTTGCCACACACTCTGCAGCAGTGAGATGTGGCCTCAGCCACATCGTTCTTGTCCTCCTCTCCTGTTGTATCATCCAGACAGGAAGCTCTGCGCTTCGGTTTGGAAGAGCCAGGCAGTGCTTCTGTCACTGGGTCATCTGCAGAAAGACTCATAACACCAAGCGAAAGTCCCAGATCTGCAGAGAAAACACACAAAAGATTCAATTACTGGAGTCAGTACAACAAATTCAATACCCACTATAAGTATGGTATGAAAAGAYTATAAAACATGCCTTAAAACACATTGAATTTCATTTGAGCTCCAGTTCACTTTTCGATTTGATAAATCTGCAGACACTGACCTCTCCTTCGCTCTCCACGATCCGCCCTTGGACACTCACGGGGCTGCCGCGACCCTTCCTGGGCCGCTTTGTTCGCTTCAAACGCCTTGAAGATGAGCTCCACGGCCGCAGCGAGTCTCTCCATCACCAGCCCCCGCAGCTCCTCCGGCTCTGCCCGGCCGCGCTCCTGCAGCAGTCGGAAGATCTCTTTGGCAGCTGCCGCCAACTGCTGCTCCACCGAGGCCTTCAGTTTGTTGCTCTCGGACCGTTTTCTCGACATTTTTTTAAAGGTACTTCAGCGGAACAAAAGAGAAAATGGCTGTGTCCAAAACGACAGGCCGGGTCCTCCGGAGGACCCAGACTCCCCGGTCTCGGAGGGCCGGGTCCTTGGTAGACCGGGAGGACCGGAAAAAAAGAGGCTGTGGATTTGGACGGTCTAGCCTCCCGTCCTTATCCCAGCGTACGTCATGTCACCTAGCAACTGTGACGACGCTAAACAGAAGCAAAAATAGATCAAAATTAGAAAAATATCAATACATTAGCATTATTACTATCACAAAACAATAAAATTAACTTAAAGGTAACATTTGAAGAACTAATTGACCCGCTGTAGGTGCATGTTTATTTCGCATTTTTTATGATAAAAATAATATTTAAAAACATGTCCATACAAATGATAAAAGTATTAGAATTGCATCTGCTGAATTTTTCAAATTTTTATATCGCCATATTTTTTTATTTAAAACGTATTCTT